CACACTATGATGTCTATATAAAGAAAAAGGAAAAGACTCAAAGACCAAAAAATTAAATCAGTTAAACAATTAAAATGTCTGGGGCGGTGACCCAACAATTAAGAGCACCAGGACCCAGATTCGATTCCCAGCACCCACATGGCAGCTCACAACATCTGTAACCCAGGTCCAGGTAGTCTGTCATCGTAGTACATATACAAACATACAGATAAAAAACACGCTGAGAGAAAATAAAAATAGATAAATCATTTTTAAACTTTAACATGTGAAGTAAAAACAATATAGATATTGTGGTATAGAGATACATAGACATGCGTTCAATCTGATGTAAAAAGTTCCAGTAAAATCTAAATGTCGAGTATTACACGGCCATCATGTTTACTAGAATAAAGATTTACAATGGCATGCAGTATTATATGATATTAAACTTTAAAAGATGCAGATATATATCATAGCATGATAGAAAGATGTACACATGAGCTAACTGGAAAGAAATGCACTGATATCTGGTGGCCTTGTTATAAATACTTTGTTGAAATGTGTCATTTTGGTTATTCCCATGGCCCTAAAAGTTGTATCATCTGAGGCAGAATATACACACAAGTATTTGTCACCAGCTACAAGGAGACCCTGGAGGAAGGAGCATGTCAAAGCCTCCCAAGGACCCAGTCAAGTAGACTCTTCGAAGGCAACACATTCCTTAGGCTAGGTCCTTCTGAGCTGAGAACGCTGACGTTCAGTGAGCTTCCAATTATTATCAGCCAGAGAAGCGCAATTTTATATTACAAGCACAAATACTATTTTAATCCAGTTTTATACACTTTGAAGAAAAAAAATATCATGTATGCCCCTGCTTCTTGAACTCTGAGTTGTTACTTGAGACGGAATAGGAATGGAATCATATAGAAATTCCAGTGTAGGAATCACAAAAAGTTTGGCAAGAGTAAAGGGTATTTTTAATACACGAAACAAAGCTAGTGTGGCCATGAGTGCAGTGGTTTTGCCACACACAGTGCTTTCTGCTCTCACAGAAACACGATGGCTTAACAGAAAGCAAAGGCGTGGTAGTCTCCTCCTGCCGTTCTTGAGCACGATGGCATTAGAGTAGCGTAGTCAGAGGATTTGATTTTAAAATTTGCTGTTTGAGTTGATGAGTTGATGTTCATGAAAAGTCACTGGATGAATTTCGACTTAGGATTGGGACAGAATTTCCAATAATTCTTGAAATGGTCCTCAGTGTGCTGCTGCAGTTTTGCATTACATATGTATACACCATGCCATTCTCAGCACTACGCACTACCGCTACATGTCTGAGGACCACCGAAGATGGTGTCTATCCCGCATCAGATACTTAGCCAAGACTTCTTTCTTTGTTTACTTGCTTTTTCTGCTGGTTTCTTGTTTGCTTGTTGCTGTGCAGTGCTAACTGGCCTAGAACTCACTTCGTAGACCAGGGTAGCCTCAAACTCACAGAAATCCTCTTGGTTTTTACATGAAAATAAGCAAGCACAAAAATCTTTAACAGATGGTAAAATTACATGTATTGCCAAAGAATTATTTTAAAACAAGTTTGTTATCACTAAAGTTTGATTTGTATAGCTATATTTTACCTACCTGTATATCCAGGCCACCTAAAAATTTCCCAAAGTCTGACATGGTAGTGTGCACCCTTAATCCCTGCACTCAGGAAGCAGAAGCAAGCAATCTTTGTGAATTTGAGGCCTCCCCCTCCCCACAGTCTACATAGCAAGTTCCAGGCCAGCCAGGGTTACATAGTAAGACCTTGTCTTAAAAAAAAAGAAAGAAAGGAAGAAAGGAAGAAAGGAAGAAAGGAAGAAAGGAAGAAAGGAAGAAAGAA